CACCTGTTCAGCACATCTCCATCTTTTAATAACCAGACTGGCATCACATTTCTTTTTCTTATTCGAGACGTCTCAGTTTCAGACAATGTTGACATAGCTGTTCAGTTCCATACTAGGTAAAAAAGAAATAATTTAAAAAAATTATAAGCATTATTTGTGGCAAAATGCACATATTTTTGCTGAAATAAAGCAATCAAATGATCTTAAATCAAGAACTTTTTGATTTGTAAACTGCTACTGCTATCTACTGTATTTCAGTAAAATTTTATTTAAAAAGTAAATGCATTAAATATAATTTTAACTTTACAGAGTATGTATTTACTTCAAATTCATCAAGTTTTCAAAAAGTAACTACATCAAGTATCCCTGGTCTTTGTATGATTTTTTTACTTCAAAAGGCTGTACAGAAAAGCTTTATCTACATCACTCAATCCTGAGCTTTCATTTTTAAAATGCATATTCAGTCAATCTTTTTTTGTTATAAAATATATTTCATAAGCGACATTAATCAATGAATTTTTCTTTGGTTTAGATATCACGGTAATTTAAACAATTTCCCGAAATTTCAACGCCATTTTAAGTACCAATCTTAAATATTTAAAGTTTTTTTTTCCAACCCATTTCATATTAACGTAATGCACATAGAGAATTCATGATAAAAGTTTCAGTTTGCCGACTAGGTTCAGGAAGGAAACTATTTTATATCAGCAAGAGTTAATCACATCACTCAAATGAAAATGAACTCAAACGCGACTTACGTTTTACAAACACCTTAAAAATATTTAAAAAGAAAATTTAAACAAACAAACAAAAAAATATATATTTAGCCTGCCATCATTTAAATGACACCTTTTATTGTTCACGTAAAGCTGCGATATTATTTTCCGAGACTGTCACCTACCCTTCAAGAGACGGATAACTGCGGCACCCTCCAACGCCTTCCTCCTAACACAGTGAATCATATTACTCAGCAAATGTTAATAATATGAACAAAATAAAAAGGAATTACGATGAGGTATTTATGGAAAATCACATGTGGAGAGTTTCAGAAAGCAAACGCGTGGGGTTAGTAGCTTATATTTTAGATTTAATAGAAATAAAAGTGCTTGTCTAAACAGTGGTTAAATAACATCGTCAACACAATCATGGTATTATAAAATTTGTGGTTTAAAAAATATTGTATAACACAGAATCTTGGTATTATAAAAACTGTGGTTTAAATAGCATTATCCAATGCAGAAACATGGTATTATAAAAACAGCGATTTTAATAACATTATATAACGCAGAATTGTTTTTTTTTTAAACTGCGATTCAAATAACATTATCCAATGCAGAAACGTGGTATTATAAAAACTGCAGTTCAAATAACATTATTTGATGCAGAAACATAGCAGTTTAAATAAGATTTTATAATGCAGATTTCCAGTGAAAACACGACTAGACATCCATCATATCACTTTAGTGACTGCATATTACGACAGATTTACAAGGATTGGAATTGGCGGATTTACATCAATATCTAATCAGCCTACAATTGACTGAGCAAATTATCATGTTAATCTTCCCAAATGGAGAAATGGTAGATGAGCAAGTCGAAGATGTAAAAATACATTAAAGAAAGAAGACAGCATCCATTTGGCTAATAAAATTTTGATATTTAACCAAGTACTTTTGGTTCTTTAAGGTAAGAAGTTTCTAGAATGTGGTTATTACATTTGACAGTTTCTAATTTTTAAATTAGTAGTGCTCCGTTCTATATTAGTTCACTATATTTTTTAATTAAAGAATACTTTCGTCATACTTGTGCTCAGTCATTGAAAGGAATTGTATTTCTTTAATATATGTATTTAAAAAAAAATATTTAATATTGGCCAATTCAATTATGCAAAAAAAAAAAAAAAAAAATGATAAAAAAAATGGTCATCTTTTATGGAAAAATTATTTGCTTGTCAAGAGAGCCTGCTTCTCACTGTCTTAGCAGTGTTCAACTTGGTAAACATCATTACCATTTTACTCGGTGAAAATCACTTCATTCAGAGTTAATTTCATCTGAGATTAATTCCATCATCCCCACCTGGTTATGAGTTGTGAAGTGACGACGTCAAGTGAAGATGTACCATGCGACCACATTGAGTAAATGTGTTAATGTCATAAATGTATTATTTTTATAGACAGAATTGTCTGTGTATCCATATGATAAAAAGAATGATTTGCTGGGCATGCCTTGCAAAATTTATTAAAAGAGTTCAACCATCTGGCACTGTGATGATCTTTGGGTGCTGTGGCATCACATGTAATACACCACAAGATGTGTTTTGGTTTAATCTTCTCAATTTCATGATCATTTAAATAAAACCCTCGAGGAAATAGAAATGCGTAATCATCATTCATGTACCGATGCATTTACATCAAGATAATCAACTTTGAGACTAGAGGAATTATACATTTGCATAGTGCAATCTATTTCTTAATCGGATAATCTCGAAAATAAAACGACCGCATAAACACAGCTTAATGATTTCACCACACGAGAGTTTAGTGCTTTCACATATTTGATAATCGGCTACCAATGAACACAAATGTTCATTTTTCATTATGCATAAAAAGATGCACCATGCTTCAGAATACTAGGGAATAGCATGGGTGCACCTGCAAATGCAGAGTTTTCTTGGATAACGCCGACAGCAAAAATAAGATTTATCCTCATGAATAGAATAGGTCACATTTAACGGATAAAATAATTTTAACAGACTGGTCGCTAGACATTTGTTGGCAATTCTTCAAAGGCAAAAATCACAAAATATGCACCACCTGCACAAAAAATCAACTGAAACCATGTTTCACTGAAAATGGTGAGCATTATGTTGATTCACAATTGGTGTGTACACAAGTCGCTCGCCTTTAAACTCGCGTTCAACCTTAAAGTGCCCTGAGCGCGCAAGCAAAACTCATTTTAGACCAACGAAATTCTTACTACGAAGAAGAATTAACATTATGTTCCAAAATCATGGTATGAAGATCCACTCCATCCAGATATCAGGTAGGAGACCACCATTTAGTGACAAGGCAGCAAAGCTGTCAAATGTACAGACAAAAAGCAGGAAATAACAAAAAAGGCTACTGTCAATTCTGATGCAAAAATACATTATGTTAAACTGCAAATTCAACATCAAATTTTAATTATGCTCAACAGGTAATACCAACGTAAGTTAAATGTGTAACAAGCATAAGGCTTCAGGCCCATGGGAGTTCAAGTTCACACTTTGAAAATATATAACTTCCAGAAAAAGAAGCCAATTAGACTGCTTTTCCAACTCAGGCTGCATGTCGATTTTTGAACTTGACCTGCATTTTAGTAAGATCGATTACTCCTGAGAGTTTCATGACAACAGGCCTATCGGTTTTCCTTGAAATGTGTTTACAGTGTTGCATATATGTTGAAAAGCGAAAAAAAAAAAGCATAACTTCTACAATAATGGCCCGATCATCCTGATTTTCGAACTTGACCTGCATTTTATGAAAATTCATCAGCTCTATAAATATAAAGCCCAAAAGTAAAACTGCC